CTAAGAAGGGTTAGAGTTATGCCTTCCCTCAAAATGCGCGCCACATCCCTAAGATTGGGTCCCCCCACCACCCCCCAGCCGAATCCCTGGTGACCATTGCCACCCCGCCTCGGCCTCCCAAAGTGCTAGGATTACAGGCGTGAGCCACCGCGCCCGGCCCCCAAATATTATTTTAATGTTACAGAATTAAAAAGCTCTAAACAAAATTGCAGTCTTCACATCATATTAATAATTAAACAAATGTAGGACTGCAAATCACCACACTGTTAGAACACAGTAAATCCTTGATAATGATAAATTGTTGCCACTGTTATTTCTACATTTGGCAGTTTTCCTACTTTTAGCATACAGAAATACAAGTGGGAATATAAAGAATAGCAAACTGCAATAACATGTAAATATATTCTTCATCTAAGGAAGGCTGATAAAAGCACAAAAGCACTGAGATAAACAAGAAGACACAAAAGGTGGTAAGTAGTGTATTTAAAAAGAGTACTAAAATAAAGTTTGAATACTTTCATGGCTTCAAAAAATAAAAATTTAAGTTTGATAGTAATCTTTAATTTTCCTTACCTCTGATCTCAAGACAGTATGAATAGCTTCAATTTCCTTTGTCCTCGAATTAGGAAATTCTGCTAAAAAGTAAACAGAATATTTGATCAATACCATATGAAATAACAAATAGGCATCTTCAGGAAAATATATTTTACTGAGTTTAAACAGAATAGTTGGCTGATATGAGAGCAAATGCAGAAGACATATCACTTGATTTTCAACACAACTTTCCATTGTCACTAATACTCTTCACTGTCATATAAATCATTCTTTTTTGCCTATGTCCTATACCTTAAGATGTCTACCTTTACCCCTTGGAAGTGTTCATTAAAATTTTGTTGTGGGAATAAGTTTTGCAAATTAAAACTCTCTGTTGGCTTATGCTGCTATACGTTTAGATGAAACTTTATTCAACTAGGGCTTAGGGCTTTTACTAACTTCTGCTCCTAATACTATCAAATAATTAATCACCTATAAACAAGCAATAAAAATATACTAAGAGAACATTCATTTAAAGTAACAGAGACACAATTTATTAAAAATGGGATGTAGCTTAGTCTGGTTTTGTAGATTTTCATTTAAAAGTAGAGTCAAAGCCCAGCAGTGCCAATATGATGCTGTTAGAAAAATACCATCCGGCCGGGCACAGTGGCTCATGCATGTAATCCTAGCACTCTGGGAGGCTGAGGCGGGCAGACTGCTCAAGGTCAGGAGTTCTAAACCAGCCTGAGCAAGCGCCACCCGCGACCCGTCTCTACTCAACATAGACGAAACTTAATTGCAACTAAAATATATACGAAAAGATTCGCGGGCACAGTGGCACAGCACCTGCGTCGCCAGCCTACTCTGGCGGCTGTGTAGCAGCGGCTGCTTGGAGCCAGAGTCCTTTGCGGCTGGCTGTGAGCTAGCTGCGACTGCCCCCGCACTCCTAGCCAGCACAGAGTGAGACTCTGCTCAACACTACTAAATACATAAAAAGACAAGCCATCATCTCGCCAGAGTTACGATACTTTTCTAGATACTCTACTAGAATTTTTTTCATTCTGCACCAGGCACTCTTATATGATCAAGAGACACTTCTCTGACACAGTTTAAATTAACAGCAAATACAGCGCAGGCATGCATAAATTCCATAGGTGACAGGACCTCCTTCGCATTTTTGCCTCGGTCATTGCTTCTCGGTGGTGTGCTGCATCTTGCTTGAAACTCTGAAAGCATTATCTAATTCCTACTCTGAAGAGGACAAAGTATAGTCTCATCTGTTTAGGAAGATAACTGTATACAAAGCGGCGCATGGTGCTTCAAAACGGTCATCTGTACAGATCATGTAGCACGCTACCCTTGCCCAATGCCCCCAAACTCGGCTTTTTTTCTTTTTTGCCCAGGTAGCAGTGCCATGGCATCAGCTAGCTCATGAGCAACCTCAACTCTGGCTCAAGCAATCCTCCTGCCTCAGCCTCCCAAGTAGCTGGGACTACAGGCATGCGCCACCATGCCCAGCTAATTTTTTCTATACATATTTTTAGTTGTCCAGCTAATTTCTATGTATTTTTTTAGTAGAGATGGGGTCTCGCTCTTGCTCAGGCTGGTCTTGAAATCCTGAGCTCAAACGATTCTCCCACCTCAGCCTCCCAGAGTGCTAGGATTACAAGCGTGAGCCACCGTGCCCTGCCAATCCTGACCTTTTTAAATAAAGAGGAGATATCATGCAGACAAAAAAAAAATCTGATTTTCTCAATGAGGGAAAACATAACGTCTACCATTTATTAATGTTTACAATTTGCTAGGCACATTTCTAAGCATTTTGCACTCATGATTTCATTTGATCTTCTCCATCTCATGGTAGGCATGATTATCACTATTTAACAGATAAGGAAACTATGCCTTTTAGAGATTAATTAATAATTTGCCCAGAATCTCACAACTTGTAATGCAATGCGTGAAAGTGGAATTTCAATCCATGTCTATCTAATTTAAAAGCCCAAATTCCCAACCTTGAATAAATCAGTAGATGTTTGGTAGAATAAAACCCTCTGATATTATAAATATGGACGGTTTTCAAGTTGTACCAAGAGTACAACTTGTTTTCTTGTTCATTGCTGGCACAGGGTAAACAATTAAGACTAGAACGAGGCCAGGCGCGGTGGCTCACGCCTAGCACTCTGGGAGGCCAAGGTCAGGAGTTCAAAACCAGCCTGAGCAAGAGTGAGACCCCCATCTCTACTATAAATAGAAAGAAATTAATTGGCCAACTAAGATATATATATATATATATATATAGAAAAAATTAGCCGGGCATGGTGGCGCATGCCTGTAGTCCCAGCTACTCGGGAGGCTGAGGCAGTAGGATTGCTTGAGCCCAGGAGATTGAGGTTGCTGTGAGCTAGGCTGATGCCACGGCACTCACTCTAGCCTGAGCAACAAAGTGAGACTCTGTCTCAAAAAAAAAAATACTAGAACGCATAAACTGTACTCTGACCCTATATTTAAATAACTTATAAAACCAATAAGTTAGGTATTAAGCAAGTCCTACTGCAATAGAAAGGAAAAAGAATAAAAGCATTAAGCAACTTTGCAGACTTCTAATCATTCACTTGCATAATTTTTATTGAGCATCTAATATTTACCAAAAAAGATGACACATATTGGTAATATAAGAACCAAAAAAATCCAATGCCCACCCTGGGCATCAAGGAAAGAAATAAATTATAACTGAACATGGTAAGTGTTGTCAAGATCCACAAATTCTGTCAAAACACAGATCACTGATCATAAATTCAATCTGTGCAGGAGTCAGAATGGTATCACCAGGTACCTGACAGGTAAGCATGGCTGCACAGGAAAACTGTTTTCCAGGTAAAGGAAAAGGAGAGAAGGGCTTTCCATACAGAAGCTTGGAACTGTGTGGTACCTGACAAACTTCCATGTGGCAGAAGTTCTGTGTATAAGCGTTCATATGTATGTTGAATGTGCATATGTAAGGCAACTGGTATGGCAACTAAAAAAGGTAGGTTGAACCCAGACAGGATGGGTCTTGGCTTTCCAAAATTTGGAGGTTTGGTTTTATTCTACAAATAATAGGTCCAAGAGTAATAAAGGAAAGAACAATTCTGACATAAGATGAACAAGATTTGCTGACCAAGTAGACGTAGTAAATGAAAAAGGAGACAAAATAAAGACATGAAGATTTATTTATAGGTTAGGAAATTGGGTAGATTTAAGATTGAGAATAAAGGAGCACATTTGGTGGGAAAACAAAATGAATTAAATCTATAAGACATACCCGTTGGGGGATGCATATTGTTTGACTTAGGGTCAAAGGAATAACCAATTGTTTTTCACTATAGAGGATACAGAGAGACTAGTCTCATTTCCCATAGTTATCCAGCCCTTCTCTGCTTCTGACTGCGTCAAGGTCCCATGCTTGCCTCCACACATGAAGTCTTTTCATGCCTGTTCCCAAACCTGTCCCACCTGATGCACCACCCACTCAAGGGGAACGCCAAGCAGTAAAATGAATTTCTATAGCTCTCCAGTCTTCCTTCCTTCTAAATAGATCCCACAGAAATTCTAAATATAAACATTATCTATCAAACCATCTTTCTCTACTTCAACCAAATAAATATGAAATAAATAAATATATATATATATACACACACACATAATATGAAGGCTCAGCTAAATCCAGGATTTTAAAAATTAGGCCAGAATGCTAACTTATAAATTATAAGAAATAAAATTGTCAAAGGAACTGCTCTCATCCAAAAGACCAGTCCATTATCCCCTTGGAGCAGATATAGATTGAAACTAAACAACTCTAGGTTGGGCGTGGTGGCTCACACCTGTAATCCTAGCACTCTGGGAGGCCTGAGCAAGAGCGAGACCCTGTCACTACTATAAATAGAAAGAAATTAATTGGCCAACTAATATATATAGAAAAAATTAGACGGGCATGGTGGCGCATGCCTGTAGTCCCAGCTATTCGGGAGGCTGAGGCAGCAGGATTGCTTGAGCCCAGGAGTTTGAGGTTGCTGTGAGCTAGGTTGATGCCACGGCACTCAGTCTAGCCTGGGCAACAAAGTGAGACTCTCTCTCAAAAAAATAAAAATAAATAAATAAACAACTCTTTATTTTATTATTTTAATTAACTGAGACAGGGTCTCACTGTGCTGAGTCTGGTGTCGAACCCCTGAGCTGCAGCTATCCTCCAGTCTCGGCCTCCCAGGAAGATAAGATTATAGGCATGAGCCACCATGCCCAGCCAACAACTCTTTATATCCAAACAGTAACTGCTGAAAGAAATGTCAAGAAATCAAAATAGTGCAGGCACAGTGGCTCAAGCCTGTAATGCTAGCATTCTGGGAGGCCGAGGCAAGAGGATTGCTAGAGCTCAGGAGTTCCAGAACAGCCTGAGCAAGAGCAAGACCTTATCTCTACTAAAAATAGAAAAAATTAGCCGGGCGCACTGCGCGCCTTTAGTCCCAGCTACTAGGGAGGCTGAGGCAGGAGGATCACTTGATCTCCGGAGTTTGAGGTTGCTGTGAACTAGGCCGACGCCTCGGCACTCTAGCCCTGGCATCAGAGCGAGACTACGTCTCCAAAAAAAAATCTAAATAGTAATTAACTTTTAACTTAATCATCGATTACCATGTAACTCTAAGTCACTATTTATTAGTAAAACAACATGAAGGACTTCAAAAATAAGCGAAGATTGCTAAGAATACCCTAAGGATAGGTATCGTCCCTGTTCTGTTGAAAATGGGAGACATGGACAATTATACACAAAAACACATTTTTCAGCCAGAACGCTGAAATGTGACATCACAGCAAGCAAAAATCTAAAATAACTAAATAGAAAAGCAGCCATGTTTCAGTACAAAATAATATACTCAAGATAGAAAGGGCAAGTCACCAAATGTTTAAATCATGTATTATTTCAATCGTCACAAAAATGGACGAAAACAAAAGAAGTGACTATTTGCCGTACACAATTCTTCTAACTGTCAAAATTAAGAAAGATGGTAAAAATCTGATCCGCCCCCAAACTGAGGGCAAAGCCAGCGGAGGGCGTGGAGAACCAAACAAAAATAAACTCTACTGAACTTAGGAGCAGTTTCACTCTACTGTACTCTGAGACGTCCAGAGTATTCAAAGGTAGGAGAACCAGAAGTCTTCTCCCGGACCCCCGGGATCTTTCACCACAGAAAATGAGTTGAGAAGAGGCAAAGGAAAGAGTGTAAAGAAAAAAGGGAGGAGTGGCACTCCTTTGCGACCCGTCCGCGTCTTACGACTGATGAAAGTGGGAACCAAACAGACGTTCCCGGGTCCCAAAAAAGCCGTCCCTCCCCTCGCTCCAGCTGTTACCTTCCACTTCCTCCGTGCCCTCCATGAGCATATCCTTTGTAAAGTTTGAAATCTGGCCAGTGAGGGAAGCCAGGCTACCCCCAACTTGCCCCAGAGACTGGCCCAAGCCGGAGCCAAGGCCCCCAAGCCAGGACGACATCGCTGCGGGTTTAGAGAACGACCAGGTCCGCTCTGAGAAAAGCGTCCAGCGCCGTCGGACGATCCCGCCAAATGTCCTCTAACCGCAGTCTTCGTGAGACTATTCCGAAACACTCTGGATGTGACAGCACAAAGCGAGGTTCCTAGGCAACGCCGGCTCGGGGGTCTCCAAACAGCCGGGCTCTGCCTAGGAACGCAGAGGCCTGGGCTGGAATTTTACCAGGGGCCCGCCTCTAGTGATACAGTCACCCACACAGGGCCTTCCGCTCATTCCCACGACTTCCCACCGTCCAGGTTGGGCCACTTCTTCTTCTGCTTTAGAGACTTTCCTCAGTTCCGTGGGCAAGTCCTGCCAACTCGACGCCGGCCGCCATGACACCCACCCTGAAAGCGGCAGCGAATCATAGAGAGGCGCCGCGGTGGCATAGAAGGGCCCTGCGAAGCTACCGGACGTGTCCTTGGCGCATGGGAGCATGGGATTGCGGAGGACTGAAAGCGAGCTGGAGGGGCCGGCTGCCTTCAGCCCTGGGCAAGGTCATCTTCCACGTAGCCAGTCGGCTTTGGCCAAGGGAGGAGTAGCTGGAAGCAGCAGCGGCGTCGCAAACAACCCCTGATGGGTGCTCCCCGAAGCCGGCGTGGCCCAGGAACCCCGCAGACCCTCACAGTGTTGTTGATAACTGAGTGTTGTAATTCAAACTACAGCCTTCGGTGTGAGGAGACTTGGCTGGGTCGTTCCACTGCGCAGGAAGCGGCTGCAAATAACTTATCAAACGTTACTGTATCGATTAGCCACCCTCTGCAGGGCTACTCTGTGCCAGGCACTATTGGTAGGAAATGAGGATACAGAGATACAAAGGATGAGTTACAAATAAGTGTCCAGGCAGGAAAAATTTTCTTCTATAATAGAAATTTACTCTGGTGGCTTTCCAGCTAACAATTTAAACCCTAACCTTCTTTAATATACAATGGACCTTATTCTTTTTTTTTTCTTTTTTTCTTTATTTTATTTTAGCGTATTATGGGGGTACAAGTGTTAAGGTTACTTATATTGCCCATGCCCCCTCCCGCCTCGAGTAAGAGCTTCAAGCATGTCCATCCCCCAAATGTTGCACATCTTACTCGTTGTGGTTGCATACACCCATCCCCTCCTCCCTCCTCCCTCTTCTCACCCTCCTGACACCTGATAAATGTTACTCCTATATGTCCACTTAGGTGTTGATCCGTTAATACCAATTTGCTGGTGAGTACATGTGGTGCTGGTTTTTCCATTCTTGAGATACTTCACTTAGTGGAATGGGTTCCAGCTGTATCCAGGAATATACAAGGAGCGTGTATATCACCATTGTTTCTTAAAGCTGAGTAGTACTTCATGGTATACATACATTTTATTAATCCACTCATGAATTGATGGGCACTTGGGTTGTTTCCATAGCTTTGCAATTGTGAATTGTGCTGCTATAAACATTCGAGTGCAGGTGTCTTTTTCATAAAGTGAATTTTGATCTTTTGGGTAGATGCCCAGTAGTGGAATTGCTGGATCAAATGGTAGATCTACTTGTATCGCTTTGAGGTATCTCCATATTGCTTTCCACAGAGGTTGAACTAGTTTGCAGTCCCACCAGCAGTGTAGGAGTGTTCCTCCCTCTCCACATCCATGCCAGCATTTGTTGTTTGGGGACTTTTTGATAAAAGCTATTCTCACTGGAGTTAAGTGATATCTCATTGTGGTTTTGATTGCATTTCCCTGATGATTAGAGATGTTGAAATTTTTCATATGTTTGTTGGCCATTATTCTGTCTTCTTTTGAGAAGTTTCTGTTCATGTCCTTGCCATTTTTTGATAGGGTTGTTTGATTTTTTCTTGCTGATTTTCCAGTTCTAAATAGATTCTAGTTATCAGCCCTTTATCATATGTGTAGATTCCCGAGCTACACAAATTGTCTCCCATTCTGTGGGTTGTCTGTTTGCTTTCTTGACAGTTTCTTTGGCTGTGCAGAGCTTTTTAATTTCATTAGGCTACAATGGACCTTATTCATGAAGCTGATTTCACCTATGAAGTTAAAAGGCAGCCTCTTTTTAAACAACTCATTATAGGACCGCATGCATGGCAACTTAGTAGAGAAGTGCTGTTCTAAGGTAAATGGATTGGTGGCACTAGCTATGCAAGTGTCCAACCTCCCGTGGTCCTCAGTTACACACTGCAGTTGTAACATACCAGTGTCCTGCCTTGCTTGCTTTCCTTCCTAAGGAAGAAGGGTTGTCACATGACTTTCAAGCACTTGGTGCGTAGTGAGTGAACACACAGCACCTGGCCAGGTAGACTAGCAGATTGTTTGTTTTGAAGAGAACATGATAGGTCTGCAGTTCTTCAAAACATTGCACTAAATTTACTAAATTTACTGGCATCTTTCCCTTTGATTTTATTCACAGGAGGGGCTACCACAGATTGCACTGTTTTTGGAATCTTTTTTTTTTTTTTTTTTTTTGTTTTTGGAATCTTATGGCATCAGGCAGTAGTACCATTCCCTGAAATTTGAATGTTTTTAAAACAAAATTTCTATCTCATTCTGGAAGTGTTTTTTTAATGCTTTTCATGTAATTATGTGAAAGATACCATTTGGGTACGGTGGGGTATGCCTGTAATCCCAACTAATTGGGAGGATGAGGCAGGAGGATCGCTTTAGCCAAAAGTTTGAGGTTGCTGTGAGCCAGGCTGACGCCATGGCACTCACTCTAGCCTGAGCAACAAAGCGACACTCTGTCTCAAAAAAAAAAAAAAAAAAAAGTGGCATACTGATGATCAGCAACTTTTTTATTTCCCCTTCCCCACCCCACATCAGGAACTTATTAATGTGTCTACCATTACTCTAGACACTGGGGATAGAGCAGAAGAGTAAAAACATGCAAAGTCCCTGGTCTCATGAAGCTTGCATTCTACTGGGAAGGCACAGATAATAAATAAAATGTAATAAATTTAAGATAGGTAGTGAAGACTTCTATGGGGAAAAAATCAGGGATAATATGGGAAGGATGTGGGGAGAGGGAGTACTTGTAAGAGAGTGGTCAGGGAAGGCCTCACTGTTGTAGAGAGTGGTCAGGGAAGGCCTCACTGATAAAATGATCTTTGAACAGAGACTTGAAGGAAATAAGAGTGAGACATATGAATATCTGGGAAAGAGCAGTCCAGGCATAAAGAAACAGCTGATGCAAGGGCCCTGAGGCAGGTGAATCCTTTGTAGGTTTGAGGATTAGCAGGAGGGCAAGGATGACTAGAGCAGAGTGGGCTGGGGAAGGCTTGTAAGCAAAGAGAACCCAGAAGTAAGGGTGTGAAGGGGGCAGATCACAGAATGCCTGGAACAACATTGTAAGGACTCTGGCTTTTACTCTGAATGGGATGAGGAATGACATGAATTTAAGACCTATTTGGGTTACTGAATGATGGTGGAAAGGTTAGCTATTGTAAATTGAACTCATATTTCTTATAGGTGTAAATTCATGTCATGCCACAAGGAGATGGCAGTTAATGAAGCAAACAAACACAAATATATGCCTTTACATAATTTATTAAATAATTAACATAAAAGCTATGTCCTAAAAGTTCCTTATAGGGGATTTCTTTCTATGAGATGGGCTATGGCCTGAGCGACTTAACATATTATCCTGATAAATAATGTGATATGGTACTTTTGATGTGTTTCAAAATAATGGAGGACATGGTAGTTCATCAGCAAATGATAATTGTTGAAGCTGGGTGGTGTATACATAGGGGTTCATTATACTAGTCTTGCTTTTGCATATGTTTGAAATTTTTTGTAATAAAAGGTTAAAAGAGGCACGGCGTGGTAGCTCACGCCTATAATCCTAGCACTCTGGGAGGCCAAGGTGGGCAGATTGCTCAAGGTCAGGAGTTCGAAACCAGCCTGATCAAGAGCGAGACCCCATCTCTACTAAAAATAGAAAAAAATTAATTGGCCAACTAAAAATATATAGAAAAAATTAGCCGGGCATGGTGGTGCATGCCTGTAGTCCCAGCTACTGGGGAGGCTGAGGCAGAAGGATCGCTTGAGCCCTCAGGAGTTTGAGGTTGCTGTGAGCTATGCTGACACCACCAGCGTACGCAGCTGCCCACCTCTAGGCTGGGCAACAGAGTGAGACTCTGTCTCAAAAAAAAAAAAAAAAAAAAAGTTAAAAGATATGCAAGTGTGATAACATTTGAGCTGAAGACAGCTCTTCCTTCCTTGTCCTGCCAAATTATCCCTGTAGCTAATACCATGTTCTTCATCATCACTCAATGAGTAGAAAACCAATGCAGCACAATCAAATGCATCACATCAGACAGAGCCCATGGGCCTCAGTGGCTCCAGGTAGTGGAATCTAGGCTGCCCAGCTGAAATTCTGAACCTAGGATTTTGAAACTTCAATAGATAGAAACAGAAAAAAAAAACAAAGCAAACAAACAAAAACAAATACTGTCAGTTGCAAGCTAGTTTCTGTTTCTCAAGCAGTGGTATCAATACTCCTATAGGGAAAACAGTTCCTTTGTTCTGAGAAAACTATGGATTTATTTATGCAAGTTCAAGCAAAAACCCATTTTTTAAAAGAATACTTAAAAATATTAGTGTGATATTTCTCTCTGAATTTCTAAGCATTATGCTTATGATTTTCTTATTAATTTTAGACATTCAACTTTCCATTATGGAAAAACAAAAGATTTAACACCCTTGTATTTCCCCATGCCTCTACTACTACCCTTTCTTCTGGGCTTTCAATATAGTGGTATCAGAATTATTTGTAAAGTCAGTAATCAGTGTGTACTTTATATGACAACATACATCTTGTTTGTTGCTGTTGGGTCAAGTGGTGTGTACTAAGATTACATTTCCTTCGTTTTTCAAATTTTTGTTCTTCCTGAAGTGAACAGAGTTCATTTTTAAAATTTGCACAATTTGTTACAATGGAATCACTAATCTTTCTAAAACTTATGAAAAAAAATGTGAAACATGCTCCTAATTCTGTTTTCATTAAAACATCAAGAATTCTATCAATTGGCTTAGACTCAGTCCTCTCTACTCAGGGCCCTATGTTTTCCTGTTCTAGTCTCCTCTGATTATTCTCTGGGCTTTATTTTTCTTCCTGGAAGCTTATTGGATCTTCTCTTTATCTCTGATGCTCTGAAATTATGTTTCACAATATATGTTTGATGTGGGTTTGTTTTTGTTTCATTCATTATATCAGGCATTTTTTAGTTCTGCAAATTATATAAAATATTTTTTTATTGATGATGCCTCCTCTCTAGGGAATCTGCTATTTCTTTCAGAGACTTTTAACCAAACCTCCTAATTTCAGTCCATATTTCACCTCCACCTGCCAGAATACTTGTTGCTTTCATTTCCTGTGTACTGCTGGGCATACTTCTCTTTAACACTTAGTATTCAGCTTCCTAGTACTGCTTATTCCTGCATCAACTTTTCATCTTTCAAAAAAATGTTAACATCTCTCTTCTGCTGTTGTATGTGGAAGTGACTGCTAATTGTTCCCTAAAGTTTGTTCTCCCCTTCATATATAGTAATTGAATCCCCACTTTTTGCTTGGATGCACGACATAGCAGAGGATGCCTGTGCCCCTCTTGTACCTCCTCATCACTTTACCCTTTGTGTGCACACCACCAGCACCTGTGTCTCTTTGTCAGACAACAACTGCCTTCCATCTGCCAGAGCCCACAATGCCTATATGCCCAGTGGGAGTTTAAAATGATGCAGCTCGCCTGCCCTGTTTGTGACATACTGCCTCCAGATTTGTCTGAAGGATTGAGGCTTTGCTTAATATTATACCCTTGCTTGGCTTCCCTCCTTTCCCTGTCCTACTTTCTTACTCCCCTGTACCCTTTGC